ATTTTTTAAAAAATTTTGAGCTCCAAATTCTATCCCTTCCTCTCCTCCCCCATCCCTGAGATGGTAAGCAATTTGATATAGGTATATATGTATGATCATGTAAAACATTTCCATATTAGTCATTTTGTGCGAGAAGACTTGAATGTCAACAAAAGAAAGAAGAAAGAAAGGAAGAAAGAAAGATAAAAATAATATGCTTCAGTCTATATTCAGACAATACCAATTCTTCCTCTGGAGATGGATAACATCTTTCATCTTGAGTCCTTTAGGATTGTCTTGAATCATTGTATTTCTGAGAATAGCAACTTATTCACAGTTCTGCATTGTGTAATATTGCTGTTACGGTGTACAATGTTCTCCTGGTTCTGTTGACTTCACTTTGCATCAGTTCATGTAAGTCTTTACAGGTTTTTCTGAAATCATCCTGTTTATTTCTTATAGCACAGTAATATAATATCACAATCACATACCACAACTTGTTTAGCCATTCCCCAATTGGGTACCCCCTCAATTTCCAATTCTTAGCTACCACAAAAGAGCTCCTATAAATATTTTTGTACAAGTAGGTTCTTTTCCTTTTCTTTTTAATCTCTTTCAGATATAGACCTAGGAGTCGTATTGCTGTATCAAAGGGTATGCACAGTTTTATAGCCCTTTGGTATAGTTCCAAATTGCTCTCCAGCATGGTTAGATCAGTTTACAACTCTACCAGCACATGCATTTATGTCCCAGTTTTCCTGTCTCCCTTTCAATATTGAACATTTTCATTTTTCATCATGTTAGCTAATCTGATAGATGTGAAGTGGTAATTCAGAGTTATTTTAATTTGCATTTCTCTAATTAATAGTGATTTAGAACATTTTTTTTTCACATGACTATAGATAGCTTTGATTTCTTTGTCTGAAAACTGCCTGTTCATATCCTTTGACCATTTACCAATTGGGGAATTAATTGTATTCTTACATATTTGACTCAGTTCTCTATATATCTGAGAAATGAGGCCTTTATTAGAGATATTTGTTGCATAATTTTCCCCTGGTTTTCTGCTTTCCTTCTAATTTTTGTTGCATTGATTTTGTTTGTGCAAAACATTTTTAATTTATATGATCAAAATTATCTATTTTATATTTTGTAATTTCCTCTATATCTTGTTTTGTCCTATTCTTCCCTTATCTATAGATCTAACAGGTAAACTATCCCATGCTCTTCTTATTTGCTTATAGTATCACCCTTTATGTGTAATGATTTATTATTCTTGATGTGACCTAGAAGCCTTATTTTAAATATTGTATATTTTAAATACTGTAAAAAAAAAACCAATTCTGTATACCCAGTAGACTGTCAAGATTAATTAATGTTGCTTACACTGCATGTATGGTACCACATGACATTTAGGAATAAGAACTGAAAGACAGGCACAATATTTATATAAATCAGTAAGAACCAAGAAAGAAATGTTTATTAGTTAGTTAATGTGTTTATATGCATGATTCATTGTCTTGACAACTAGTTCATAAACTCCTTCTGGGCAGATGTCCTTACAACAGGATTTGAATAAAAGCTTGCTGAATAAATAAGACATAATTTTTTTTTAAAAAAGACTAAGTTCCACTGTCTTTCTACTGTTTCTCCTCAATTTTCCTTTCTCCAGTCCTACTCCCAAGCTTCAGACCACCACTGAAGAAAGTCATTCATTTCATCTAGGCAAGTAGGTAGAGAGGATGCTAGACTTGGAGTTAGGAAGAACTGAGTTCAAATCAGACCCAACACTTTAACAAGATGAGTGATGCGAAGCAAGTCACCTAACTTCTGCCTGCCTCAGTTTCCTTACCTGTAAAATGGGGTTTTCTCATTAATAGCATCTATCTTCGGTGCCATGAGGATCAATTGAGATAATCGTTATAACATACTTTGCAAACCTTAAAGTGCTATATGAGTGCTACATATTATTATTATGAAGTATGACTATGAGGTATAGAGGAGGTGCAATAAGAACTGATCAAATGTAATAAAGGAAATGGGGGGGTAAAGAAAATAAAAGTGGGAGGAGGGGTCTAGGGCAGGAGAAGGCTCATCTCTGGGGCCAAGGGACTGCAGGTGATGGAGGGCAGGGCTTGGGGAGGAGAGGGGGACAGGGTCCTGACCTCCTGGCCCAGGGTGTGATTGGAGGAAAGGGCCCTTCCTGGGGTCCTCAGAGGCCGGGCAGAGGCTGGGAGGACCCTCCCAGAGTGGACTGGCTGAAAACAGGAACTTGTGCTGAGATCTCTCTGCCCTTGGAATTGGGATCTCCCTGCCTTCCTGCCTCACAGTTGAAATCTCTGCTGACTTCTCTTGGACCTGAGATCTCTGCCTTCCAGACACCAGCTCTGTGGGGCAGATCCCAAGGAGGTCTGAGCCAGCCCCTCACAGATCTGCTGCCTGTTCAGGCCATTGGATCTCATCCTCCTTCTCTGAACCCTTGGCCACCCTCCTGCCCTGGGATCCTTCTCCCTCCCCACCTCAGTGTGGGAGGGAGTTCAAGACCAAGGCCTGAACAAGTAGGGAGGCTGGAGCCAGAGGGAATGGCCCCTGGGAGCTGCAGATCCCCAGCCAAGCTCATTTTACAGATGAAGCTACTGAGGAAAATAGAGTTGAATGACCTGCCCAGGGTCACACAGTAATAATCTTAGGCCAAATTTGAAGTCAGATTTTCTTGACTCCAGACTCAACATTCTATCCACTCTGCCCCCATAATTGCATTATTATAGAATTAAAAGTGTAAATATCCTTGTTAAGTATCCATTTAGGTTTGTATCTTTTGTGGTCCCTGAACCAATTTCCACTCTTTATTATGGAATGAAAGGATGTACAGATAACTTTTTACCTTTGTTCGCAGTATATCTGTGGCCTAGTCTAAGGTTAATTTTTGTAAAAGTTCAATGTGGTGCAAAGAAACAAATTATGTCTTCAGTTCTGATTTTCTAAAAAGATTTCAGATTTTATCATTGAACATCCACGTTTTGTCCCACATTGCTAAGCTTATATTTGCAAGATAGGTCTCCCTTGGCTGCATATTGCGCTTCACTGCTCTCTGGAATACATTCTTCTATTCCCTCTTCATTTCCAGAGGGTTTGGAATAGTTTTGCTTATTGCACTATTTTTTCCATTGTATTTGAAAGTCTTTCTCTTGATAGCTTTTAGGACTCACTTAGCCTCAAAGACCTGACAGTCTAATAGTAGAAGACAACACAGGAAGGAATGATGAAAATGTGTTGGAGTGAGGAGAAGGTACCCCAATACAGGGGCACAATGGAGCAGTCAGAGAAATCCCAAAGAAATCGAATGACATGAGTAATGAGATGTCTAAATGAGCTTTCTCCATAGATGGAAGTTTGGAGGTCATAACCCCATCCCATGGTGGTGAGAGATGGTTGTGAAAGGCTTGAAAAGGAAAGAGATTTGGAATAGCTTTTGTTGGGTGTGAGTAAAGGAATCAGAGGCCAGCTATCACTAAGAGGACTGCCTTCCTGCAATGAAAGCCCACATGATGAGTACTATCCAATGAAGAGACCCCAGTGGGGGGAAAATTATAAATTCGTGGGAATCTCAAAATGTATAAAAGATCAATAAATACCCCAATTGTTCCAAACTAAAATGATAGAATACAAGGAGTGAAAAGTGTTATATGGGTAAAAAACAGACCATGAATCAGGTGTTTTAAAGAAGGGATCAGAAAGATAAAAAATTAAAAGACAATTTTGTACATATGGTGGAGAATTGTTCCAAATATCAGAATTTCTGGTAAAGTGAATCATATCCCAGTGATGGAAATGAAAGACTTTCACAGGCCAAACACACATTGTGCATGTAACAGTTTGGAAATATAGATAACTGCTCATAAATAAACAAATAAAGTGGGAGACTAAGATGTATAAGCAGAGAATGAAGGGAGAGGAGATGGGAATAGAGTTCAGAAAGGAGAGAAGGGATAAGAAGTGACCAAGTGGACACAGAGAAGATGAAATGTGAGGAAAGGAAAAGTGGAATAATAATAATAATAGCTAGCATTTATATAGCATTCTAAACTTTTCAAAGCACTTTATATCTCAGTGAGGTAGGTGCTAAGTGAAGATAGTAGGGAGAGAGGAGCTGAAGAGAGAGTCATTCAAAAAGTATTAAGTACTTGTTATGAGCATTATATAGCTTATCCTCTAATGGTGGAGAAAATAGGCAAATAACCTTGTACCTACAAGATAGTGTAAATGAGAAGTAATCCCAAAGAGAAAGCTCTAGAAGACTTCTTCATTCCCTCTTAAAGCCAGTGTCTTCCCTCTCTTATTTCCTATTTAAATCTTATTTGTTGCCTCCCTGAGTAGACTGTGAGTTCCTTGAAAGCAGGGCCAGGACAGTTTTTTGTTTTCTTTTGCTTTTTTTTTTATGTGCCAGGCACTGTGCTAAGCACTGAGGATACAAATATGAAAAAGACAGTTCTTGCCCTCATGGAGTTTACAATCTAATGGGGGAAGACAACACCCAAAAGAATGCTGAAAAGTAGTTTGGAGGTTTATGAAATCAAAAAAGGCCAAAATAATAAATAAATTTTATTGCTTTATAAATTATAATTAATAAGCGTTAGTTGACTTAATTAATGTTAGTTGACTGACTGGGGGAAGAGAGGAGACAGGGAAAGGCCTCCAGAATTGGGACGTTATAGAAAAGTAGAGGAATTGGTGAGAAGGGAAGAGAGGGTATAATTTGGTGGAACGAATGTTCAGCCTGGGCAGAGAGAAGAGAACAAGGGGAGGAAGAGGACGTGCAAGGGCACGTTCAGCCTCCTAGAGCCAGAAGCCCTTATGTTAAAGTAAAACCAGTCATGGGTAATACATTAAGGTGACACTGGGCGCAGTCGCACCTTTCCCCTTTCCTTACACCGCCTCCCCCTCCGGAACCCAAGTCCTGGAGCCTGGGGCTCCACGGTGTCCGGAAATAGAAATTGAAGGCACTCACTTCCGCCGACGGAGAAGAATTCAAAAGGAACTTCCGCTTGGGAAAAAAATGGCGGCGACCCTTACAGACTCACGTGTTGGCGTCGGGAAGAAAAAGAAAAAGTTACGGAAGAGGAAAAGGGTGAAGATGATGGAGGCGGCTTTGTCGTCGGAGTCGGAGCCGGAGCCAGAGCAGGGGGGAGACAGTCCTGGCGGCCGCCGCGGTAACGGGCTGGAGACCTGGAGGGCTGCGGGGACTGGGCTCCCGGCACTGGGAAGAAGGGTCCGAAAGGAAGCTGTGTCGTGGGGGGGCCCGGTTTGGAGACCCCGGGAGGTGGTGCGAGGGAGGTGGGGACGGCCGCGTGGCTGGGGGGTGGGAGAGGAATGGGAAGGGGGGGGTGAGGAGAAGGGAAGGGGAAGTAAGAAGAGAGGAAAGGGGGGAGGAGGGTCCCGTGTGATGGCCTCGAGATTCCAGACTTGCCAGCGACCCGGGCACCGGAGGAAATGGCCTGACCCCGCCAGTCATTTCGACAGTTAGGACTAGTGGGGCTGCAGTGGACGAAGTTCTGGATTTGGCGTAGGGAGGATCTGAGTTCAAATCCACCTTCAGAAGCTTACTAGCTGGGTGACCCTGGGCGAGTCGCTTAACAACTCTCACAGCTTTCTCGTCTTTCAAATAGGGGTTAATGATAATAGGTCCCATGCCTGGAATGCACCGGTATTCCCATCTCACAGATGGCTCAGGCATTATCTTCTACTTGAAATCTTTCCTGACTTCTCCGCAACTGCCTGTTCGCTTTTCCCCAAACTATTTCGTATTTAATTGTTTTGTATATAGGGAGTGTGTGTATGTGTGTGTGTGTTCGCATGTATGTATGTATGTATGTATGTATGTATGTATAACTGGATGGCACTCTAAAGGGGATAGAAATATATAAAACTATATTTAACATATTGTTTTGCATGTTCTCACCCCCCCCCCGTCTCCATTAGAAAGTAATCCAGTAGATATTGTTTCAGAGAGGTAAGCACTTCCTTGCACAGTGCCTAGAACATAAGGATACATACTAAATACTTGTTGAATAATAATACTGTATAAGTACTTTGAAAACTTTTAAGCTCTGTATAAACGTTAATGGTTGTTATTACTAGCCACAAAACCCAGACAAGGCCTTCCCTGTCACAGAAGTTTTAGGGGAGATATCAAGGATGACGAGAAAGAATTCATCCTACTTTTAGTAGCTCATATGTAGGGAAAGGTGAAAGGAGAGCCAGGGAAAAGATTTTAGGGACCAAATAAACCTGTGTACAAACACATGTCCACATAGCCTTGCTTGTAGGATTCTCTTGTTTGCTTACTTGAGATATAAGTGTGACTTTTCTGTTATGTGTCTTACCTGAATGTTATATGTAATGCTCATTTATATGCATTTTTTTATATAGAAAATAGATTGGTGCTTTTATTATCCCCATTTTTACAGATGAGGAAATCAAGGCTGAGAAGTTAAGTGACTTGCCCAGGGTCACATAGTAAGTGTCTGGGATAAGATTTGAACTTGAGCTTTCTGGTCCCAAGTTTAGCACTCTATCCCATTATGCCACATAACTGGCCATATTGGGATTATGAAGAATAAAGGAACTTAAAAGTCGTCTGGGGGAAATTCACTTCAACCCAGAAAGCATTTATTAAATACCTCATGTATACAGAACAGTGTGTGTAGGGAGAGGGATCTAAAGGTTAGGGGATTGAATGAATGAAAAAGTATTAAGCACTTACATCATAGGAGCACTGTGCTTAAGCACTGGGAATACAGATAGAGCAAGGATAGTTCTTTCCCTCAAGGAGTTTACTTTCTAATGGATTATACAGTACATATAAGCAAAAAGAAATGGGAAGCAAAGAAAAGCTTTGGTTTGGAAAGTTATTCGGGGGATATTTTAGGGGAGTATGTTGACAAACCCCATTCTGCTACAGTGGTAGCAGACTTGATTTCATCCTCTTTGTGGTTACAGAAAGGAGGCAAGTAAGTGGCAGGAGGAGGGGCATGAAAGGTAGTATGTGAACAAGGTAGCTGCCCAGTAGTAGTTGGGGGACAAGACCATGCACCTTTCAAATTCAACATGTACAAAGTAGAATTATGTTCTCCACATGTAGTCAGTTCCCAAATTTTGTTATTCTTATCTCTACATCTCTTATATACATCTACTCTTTACTAACACAGCCACCACTCTTCAGGCCCTTATCACTTCTTTCCTGGACTATTGCAGCAGCCTCCTAATTGGTCTTTCTGTCCCACCACAATCTTCCATATATAGCTGCCAAAAAGCACAAATTGGACCTTACTTAAGCTACTATGACTCTCAATTAACTCCAGAATCAATAATTAGAAGCTCCTCCTCTGAATGGAAAACATTTATTAAACATCTTTTGTGTACAAAGCATTTAGCTGAGTTTTAGAAATGCAAAATAAAATGGTCCCTTCTCTCCCAGAGCCCACATTCAAATCCAGAAAGAGCCTGTAGGAAGTATCACCGTCCCATTACTCTTTAGGGTGCACCAGCAAGTCAGATGATAAAGCGTATTTATTTAGATAATTCAGTAAAACCATATTTGTTTAGCTTTTAAAACACTTCACAACCTGACTCTGTCCTCAGCCTTGTTAGACCTTACTGCCTTTAGCCTTGTTGCTGTTCCTGACCTGATGTTCCAGCTGTCATCTTTGTACAGGTTGGTAATGTACTCCCTCTTTATTCAGCCTCTTGGAATCCCTGAGTTCCTTCGAGACTTGAAGTGACAACTTCTCTGTGAGACCTTTCCTGGTCTCATTGTCTTCCCCACTTCTGCATCCCCTAGACTAGTCCTTTTCCCCTTCTTAAAAGTATACAAAGTATGTATTTTGTATCTTTTGTATGTGTTTATATTTGTGTGTGCATATTGCCTACCTCTCTAAGAATATAAGTTTTCCATTGCTAGACATATACCCTACAGAGGTCAGTGATAAAAAGAAAGACCATATATACACCAGAATATTTATAGCAGCACTTTTTGTGCTTTGTGGCAAAGCACAGGAAACAAAGTAGGTGCCTGTTGTTTGGAGACTGACTAAAAAAGTTGAGGTATTAGAATGTAATGGCATATTACTGTGTTGTAAGAAAGGATAAATATGAATACAGAAGATGGAAAGAACAGGTGCAAAGTGAATTAAGCAGAACCAATAAAACTTTATAAACAATGACACTTAATAAATGGAAAGTGCAATAAAGCATTCAAAACTGAATGACCCCCAGAACAGAAATGAGCAGGCACCTTCTCCTGCTTCTTTGTAGTGATGGGAGGATAGTGGGGTGGAACACTGTATGTGATGTCAGAACTTTTCAACATATTGACTAGTATCTTTTTAAAAAACAATTCTTTATTATAAAGAGATGATTCTCTGGGAGTGGATGGGTGAGGGAAATGTAGGTGATATAAAACAAAAAATATTGATAACATTTATTTAAAAAAAAGGAATGTAATCTGTTTTGAGGGTAAGGAACTATTTCACTTTTGTCTTTATCTGCAGACCCTAACAGTGCCTGGCACACAGTTGGTGCTTAATAAGTACTTATTTATTAATTGAATACTTCTATTATTAGCTGTGAACTTAGACAGATATTTAATTTCTCAGTTGGTTTTCTTATTTAAATTATAAGAAGATCATGATTCTTTTATTTATATGTCTTACCTGAATGTTATAAGTAATGCCCATTTATGTGCATTTTTTTAAAATGTAGAGAATAGACAAATCACTTAGAATTTAAAAAAAAATTAATAAGAGGGGAAACAAAATAGCTTTTTACTGTGTTTCATTTTTAGTTCATGCCAGATGTTAAGTTTGGAACAATCAAAATCTAGCTTGCTGTTATTTTCTAGTTTTCTGACTTTCCACTGTCTATCTGTCCTTTATTCTCCTGTGAAATTTTGCATTCATTTGTCAAATATTTATTGAGAATAAGAGGAGTTTGTTAAATCTGGTTGTATAGGTGACCCTGAGTTCTTGAAGCCTATGTCCCCAGTGGAATTCAAGCTCTGGAAAGTCCAACCAAACTGGAAAATTTTCAAGTACAGCCCCAGTGATGGACTGTATTTCTGTTTTTCTAGGAACAGCCTAGCTAAGTTTGAAGAGGCTTATCATCAGGTTGACTGGAGAGTGATAAATTTTTCAGCCACACCAACTCTTGAAGACATCTCCTAAGCTGTATTGAGCTTGCAATTTGTGTGGCTAGAGGGAGTACTACATTGACAAAACCTCGAATACCCGAAATGTTGAAGTAAGAAGAGGTGGCAGGTGAGGCTTCTCCCCCTCCCACCACCCTCACAATTAAAGACATGCTTGAGGTCTTCAGAAAATTGGAGGAAACCATGGATCTGTTTGAGGATCAAAAAACCCCCAACTCATTAAGTACTACATCAAACTCCATTGCTATTCTAAAGTGCCTTCTCATGTTTCATCCTTCAGTTTTTTCTGACCCTGTTATTCTACTAGCAAGCCTCAGTACTTGTCTCATTAGCATGACCAACTAGATTTTATTTTGTTTTATTTTCTGCTCTTGCTATCTTTCCCTTCTGTCCTGGGCCCCATCTTTTGAGTTGAGATTCTTACTTGCCATGTTTCAGCAAATGGCACATAACCCTTCTTTAGTGTGTGTTTTTTTAAACTTTACAAACATACGCTATAGCAAATAAAATCATTTATGTTATAACAATATGTAATCCTGGTCTCATGCCAATTATCTGAAAGTAGATCTTGTTCTTTCTTAAGTTCCATTTCTTTCTTCCCTTCTAGAACTTTTCCATGGTCAGCCAGTTCATTCCTGTCTGGGTTAGATTTTAATTCAGTTTAAGTTTTGTTTCTGACAGATTCACTTTGCAAAGTTATTGTTTTACCGTCAGTATGCTACCCTGATAACTTTGTAACTATTCTGTAGTGTCACCCTGGAAAAAATAATAATTGATATATGTGTATATATATGTCTTTCTGTCTCTCTTATCTGTCTGTGACTATTGTTCTTCCTAGACAAAGTGCCAGATTTGGAGTAAGAAAGGTCTAGATTCACATTTGACCTTTGATATTAATCTTAATCTCTCTGAACCTCAGTTACTTCTTCTGAAAAAATGAAGAAAATGACACCAGTAAGACCAATTCACAAGGTTCTTCTAAGGTTCCAGAGAAAGAAAATACAT